ATTGCATTGCGATTTTGTTGGTCATTTTGGTAAATCGAAAAAAAGTTGGTCAAAATCGTATATTATAAGGAATTTTCGGTCACTGGGTTTATTTTCTCTTTCTAAAATCATGTTAATTGTATTTAGTTACCTGAAAACTTTTGCATTTAATAAATTAATTTGTATAAATTAAAGAATTTGTTTATCGTATAAGCTGATACAAAGGCCACATTTATGTTCACATCCAATGGCAACTTTGATGCAATAAATGTAACTTAGATTCCATAAGGGCTACTTAGGTCACATGTACAAATGAAATGTTTCACAATGGATAAAAGCATGTCAAGACAAATTTGTCATTCCAAGCAATATTATTTTTACTCCAATTATACATTTCACACAATTATTGTTTCTTACAATTATTTTCAACAACCATTTCCTTTATCACGGGCTCTATTCTATTCCCTTAGCCTCTATCTATTTGAACCTAGACCAATTTGTTTTTTTATAAAGTACCCAAATAGTCTTCAATTATATTATATTGTTTTGTTTAATCATCTAACTATTAAAAGTTATAAAATAGTCATTCGATTATAGGATGTTATTTCCTTGAGTCTTCCGACAATTAAAAGTTACAAAAAAGTCAATTGACTATTAATATGTGTCAAACTCGTCATTTTCTGTTAAAAATTTGATAAAGTCTGAGTTGGACGTTAACATGTTAACTGGAAACATAATAAAATATGTCCAATAAATATTTGAATTATTTTTTATGGATCTACTCTCTGTTTACATTATGTCGTTGAGTTAGTGTTTGAAACATTATGAAAATGAGTCAGTACTAATAGACATCATTAAAGTATAATTTTATCATATCTCTGTTATCATGTTAACATTCAGCTCATACTGTCGTCGATGTTTTAACAGAAAAGGATGAGTTTTGAACATATGAATAGTCGGGTGACCATTTTGTAACTTTTTAATAGTCAAAGGACTCGACAAAACAACGCCATCAAGTCGAATGATCATTTTATAACTTTTAATAATTGAGAGAATCAATAAAATAATACCATATAGTCGGTAGACCATTTGTATATTTTATCATAGTTTTTTTAACCACGAGGGGATTGCGTTTTTCATAAATAATTTACACGGGTTTCTCATGTCATCACAATTTGTGTGTGTGTTTTTTGAAAGATTGTTTGTTTGTGTTGGATGATGATGTCAAGGATGAGCACTGTTAATGATGAGCATCATTAAATTAATTTATAAAATATTAAATTATAAAGTACTAAACGTATAATTATAAATTAGTTAAAATTTAAATATGATTTAATTAAAATACAATATTTATAAACATTAGTTTTTAGGGTAAACTATATCATTGACCACCTAATTATTTACCCCTTTTACTTTAACCATTGATTTTTTTTAAATTTTGTCAATCGGATCACCTAACTATTTAAATTTTGCAAATCAATGTACTTGTTGTTAAATATTAACACAAGAGATGACGTGACAGTTAATAAAATTTATATAATTATACATTTAGTCCTCATTATTTATATTCTATTAATTTGGTCCTAACTTTTATTTAATTCAATAAATTTAATCCTCAATCCGATAGTGACACATGTTACTGTGTGATTGGATTTTTTAATATTTTTTATTTAATAAAATTTTCATCCAATCAAATTGTACCACATGTATGAATAGAAAATAAATTAAATCAATAATCGATACTAGGGGGTTTGAACCTGGGACGCAAGCAACAAATTTGAGTGCCCTAACCACTAAGCTAAACCGATAAATTTATCTAGTATATAGAACATAATCTATATAATTTATAATATAGTTAATGACAATAAATGACCTTATCATGAATCAACATATGAAATAATTGAATATTATGAAATATGATATAATATAAACAAACAACAATATTATAATTATTAATAAATGACTATATTTTATTTATATTTTAAATCACATTTAATACAAAAATTAAAATAAAAGTGAATTTAATATGTTATAATTGAAATGTATCATTTTACATAATTTAAATTAATAAATTTTCTTCATTATTCTAATTTTATTGAACTAACATGTATCATATTTTATGTTTTAAAATATTATAACCTCGATCGGGTTCTAATCTTATTTAACAACTCTATATTAAAAATAGTCTAATTCAATATAATCAAGTTTCCTCTAAAATTTTCTTCAAATATATAATGAATAAATAATAAAATATATAATTCTTACTCTAATCGGGATATAAACAAGTTAGTGCATAAGTTACAATGCTTACTACGATAAGCATTCATCTATCAGAAAATTAAAGTCAATGAAGCTCTTCGTTATATTTCAATTATAATATATTAAAATTATTTTTATTTTTTTTGTTAAAATGATTTAAAATATAAATAAAATACATTCACATATTAATCAATTATAATATTTGTGTATATATAAAAAAAATTAGCTGACCTTTATTCCCATATGTAATGGGGTAAGGGGGAGGTAAGATAGTAGGTTGCCCCCAACGCCAGGTTGAGAGCAGCTTTCGTGGGAGACCTCCAAATTATGAATATATATATATATATACACGTATTATTCAATTATTCCATGTTGAAGTTCTTATTAGGTTTTTTTCCTTTTTTATTGCCATTAACTATATATATTATGTCGTGATAGATTTGTCATTTGAATAATGCAACCCAGTGGTTGGGGCGTTTGATTCTCTCATCACGTCTTGGATTCAAACCCCACTAACAATGGTTATTGATTCAATTTATTTTCTATTCATTCAATTGGTAACACATGACACCATTTGATTGGATGGAAAATTTATTAAATTAAAAAAAATATTAAGAAAAAATCCAATCACATATTGACACGTGTCACCATCTGATTGAGGATTAACATTGTTGAATTCAATAAAAGTTAGGACCAAATTAATAGAATGTATAAGTAACGAGGATTAAATGTGTAATTATACATATTTTATTAACTGCCACAACATCTCCTCCATTAATATTTAATGGCAGGTGGCTTGATTGACAATATTTAAATAGTTAGGTGATCCGATTGACAAAATTAAAAAATCGGTGATTAAAGTAAAAGTGATAAATAGTTAGGTAGTCAATAGTATAGTTTATCCTAAAAACAAATGTTTTATAAATATTGTATTTTAATTAAATCACATTTAGATTTTTAACTAATTTATAATTATACATTTAGTACATTATAATTTTTTATTTTATAAATTTAATAATATTCATCATTAACTTTGTTCATCCGTACTTTTCGAGTGCTGTAGAATTTTTGTCGTTTGTGTTTCATTTGTGGGGGAAGATGTTTGAGATTTATTGATGATAATTTGATTTTTTTTTTTGCAAAAACAAAAGGTAATTTAACAAATTATAAATATCAAGATTATATTTAATGTAATGATAGTATATTTTTTAATTTCATAATAAAATATAAGTTCAAGAAGAGTTTTTCTTCTTCTTCTCATATTTCATAAATTTTTTATTTTATCTCTTTATTAAAAAATATTATCAATATTACTCTCAAACTTTTGAATTATATTAATTTTGTGTTTTGGTTGATATAATATTAATGTATCAATTTATGATAACAATATGTTAATCTATCGTGTTAATATAATAATTCACATATAAATCGGTTAAATTGGTGAGGTGATAAAATAATATAACTAATACAATCAAATTTAGAATATTTATTATCCTACCAACAAATAGATAAATTTGATATATATATTACTTGTTTACTTCCACGAGGGAAGAACTTCTCATTCCTCGCTACTGAGACTGATAAATTATGCTCATTGAATTTAATTTACTAATTTATATAAATTATAAAATGATAATGAACTTTCAAAATACTTTTTTTTATTAAATTATGGTAAATACAAAGTAGTATAAGTTTAAAGATAATTCTCAATCATTTAATATTAAACATTCATATATTTGACATTAATGATGGTCAAACCCGGAACCTCAAAGAATAAAAAAATTCATTTATTACTGTGGTCATTTGATTCGTGCTTGATAATATTTTTTAAATGCAAATGTTTTTCTTTTCTACTTGTTAAAATAAAATTATGAAAAGAGAAAATAATCATATTTCTTGGAAGCGACGGGAAATACTGATAGCAAGCAACCATCTTCCTGGTGTGCGTTCCAAATCACTAATCTTTCTCAGGTATCCTCCTGCTGGGGAGCCTTCCTTTGTCGTCTTATTCTTTGAAGAGGAAGTGTAGCTCTGAGAACTTGGGTTCTGGGAATAAATGCAACGGCTCTTCTGGTCACTGCCATTACTCTAAGAACTTGAGTTTGGGTGTGTGTTTTCATGTTTGGTATTGGACATAAAGCAGAGATCGAAAAGGGTTCCGGAGATGTCTCTGAAGGTGGCCGATATCCCACCAGATGGAGGAAATATGGTCAAAAAGCAATCAACAAGGTACAACATAAATTACTCTTCCCGTATGAAACAAAGTTGATAACTGTTTGAGATCAGTTTCCAACATGTTTTGTTTGTCTCGTTTAGAAGCACGAGGGCGTACTACAAGTGCAATAGTGTGAGAGAATGTCCAGCTATGAAGCATGTGGAAAGAGCTTTAGATGATCCATCTATGCTAATTGTTAGGCGACCATAATCATTCTCCCTCTGTTGGCAATCTCCTAAAATCTTCATAGATCAACTTTCATTTCTCAAAGATTTGACAATGGTACTATCACCATCTTTCATTAAAATATATTGAATATAAGGAATTTCATGTATCCCAAAACTAATATCATCGGCTATTTATTTGACGACCAAGAAACTAAAGCTTTGCGAGAAAAATCCAGCTTTCACCTTTCCATCACCATCACAAAAATCAAACGGCCATTCTTCTTTTCAATCAACCAATCAGTTTCTTTCCTTCAATAATTTTGTTATTATGTACGCACATGGATTTACAGCAAGCCACACATGTCACCCTCATCTTTCCATTTTCTAAATCCACCCTTCATTTTAAAACGGCTTCTGTGGGTACATGAATATATCCTGCAGCGGCGATAGGTGATTACTACTCTGGAACTCCGAAGTGAACCCGGTATCTACAGTGGCATCCATGTAATTATACTGGAAGTCAAGACTAGTATTGGAGTTCGCATTCTGCCACTCTCTCCGTTTGGGCTCGCTTTGTACCTCGCACGTGAACTCCGGAGACACCACGTGCTCCGAACAGCTCGAGTCCGTGTGAAGCTTCGGGACCGACTCGGACGTGTCGAAATAAACGACGTCGTTAATTGTACCTGTCGGAGCCAGGTGAAGCCCACACTTGTCCATCTCCAGTGCGGCAATATCCGGCTTCTTGTCCACGGTCTGGTTGAATCTAGCCTGTGGGGTTTGTTTCTCGATGCTACCTTTCTTATTGTAAATCCGGCACAGCACCCAATCATCCAACTACAAACAACATGTACAGCTTTCATTAATATAAAGTCCTAATTCCATGAATTTAACGTTATTATCACTTGTGGAAAATAGGAAAGAATGTTTTCCTTGATAGGAAAGCTATTACTAAAATCTCTTTCGTATGTCCTGGAGAAATTAATCATAATATTTTTCTCGTAATCATTTAAACTATTAAAAAATTTAAAAACTAATTAACTAATTTTAATAATAAAAATAAATATTATTTCCTTAAAGATTATGAGTTTAAAGAATTACGTTTACAATAAATATAAATTATTTAAGAAAACTATAAAAGTATACTACCATCTAATTCCCATAAATTTTTAAAAAAATTCTGAACTAACAATAAATTTTTGGGTAAATTACTAGTTCAATCATTTATCTATTTTCATGGTCCTCTTTAAATAGTACAATTATAATTTTTTTAAAATTATACTTAGTTTTATATTTTAGTTTTATTTTAGTCAAGATTAAAAAAATAGAACTATTAATATAATTTTTTAAATTTTTAATAATAATGTGATATTAATTTATGATGGTATATCATAATTAGTAATAAATGATTAAAGTATAATATTATATATGATTTTAAAATAAATAATTGAATGATTAAAATAAAATCACAAAAATAAATGAGTGACTGAATATGGAATTTAGTCTAAAATTCTTGTACCCTTAAGCTGTTCTTGTTTCGAGCCGACCGGTCGACGTCAGCTAAACGATACTCGTGCATAATCCAATTAGTTTTCTCTCCTTTAGGTGCTTTCCCAGCGTAAAACACCAAAGCCTTCTTAATACCGACTGGTTTCGGCTTTCCAATCGGCTTATCAGCTCCGGTTGCCTTCCAATACCCAGATCCAGCCGCACGGTTCGGCCTCGAACCGTTTGGATATTTCCTGTCCCTCGGCGAAAAGAAATACCACTCTTTCTCGCCGTACAAGGCCAATTCTGTAAATTCAACAAAACATATATAAATAATAATAATCGAAAGGTTTTTGATTTGAATAGAATAAATCAAAGAAAGAAATACAATACGTTTACCAGGAAGGTCCCATGGATCGTATTTGTAAAGGTCGATTTCGGCGATAATCGGGGCGGCGATTGGCTGCGATGCGCATTTACGGCAGAGGTAGAGCATGACGAGCTCCTCATCCGTTGGATGGAACCTAAAGCCAGGGGGTAACTGTAACTCCGTTGCTGTCATTTTTCCCCTTCAGCGGCTTTATTCTCTGTAGCTACGGCGATTGAAACTTGGAAACAACTGGAGAGCGAGGAATTTATAGAGGAGTATAGAGAAGGAAGGGACACGTGGCAGAAATGGAGTAGGAATGCTTCCAGAATCCACGTGGGTGATGAGTTTATTGTTGGCTTTTAGCGGTAGAGGGTTTAGGCTACGTGGAGGACATGGAGGTGAAGAAAGTGGGTGTAGAAAGTGCACAGATGGGTGATTTGGTCATTGCCTAGGCCATCTGTTTTGCAGGTGAGGTGCCCGCATTGTAAGTACACTGAATACTTCGAAACAATCCCCAAACGTTCTTCGGGTTTATGTGTCTTCGTGTGCGGTAGGCGTGCTTTTTTCCTCTAGGCTAAATATATATCTTTGTATTTTTTATCGATAAATATGTATTTAGTCATCTACATAATTTTTTTCTGTTTTGATTGTTTGTTTTAAAAAATTAGAATTGCAGACGTGATAATTTTTTTAAAAATATTCAATGAGGATACAACATTATTTTATTACATGTCGACATCATTATTATTTTTAACGATATGTGATCAAAACGAATGATATATGGTTTAAAAAATAGTTTAGTGATCAAAATAAAACTGTGAAAATTAGTGGATGACTAAATACGTAGTTTATTCTTTAATATTTATTTTTTTAATTTAATTAAGTATTCAAGTTGAATATTAAAATTTAATTTATACTTAATTTTTAATCTAATTAAGTACATGAATTTATCATTAAGTTTAAATTAGCAATTACATTTGATTTGTAAGTTAAATTAATGTAATATATTATTATTATAAATATCAAATTACACTTTAAAATTAAATTTAAATATTAAAATATGTTTATCCTTATGTATATATGATCAACTGAATTTTTATTATAAATAATTTTATTAACGTATTTTATGAATTTAGATAAACACAACTGTTGAGTTAATCGATCGATAGAGTTGGCCAAGAGGGAGGTGAATTGGCAAATAAAAATTTCGGTGGAAGCTTTGCAGAAAATTGAAAAGATTTGCACAACGATTTAGAGTGGTTCGACTTTCTCAACCAAAGTCTACGTCCACTACCTTAGCTATCCACACTAAGGATTTTCCACAAATTCACTAATTTGTCTTTCTTTTGAGGACAAAGAGTAACCTTACAAATCCCTCAAGAATTATACCTCAAATTCTTGAGAACACTCTCTCCCAAAGAGAATAATACAAATTTTGCAAACTTACAAGAAAATCCTCACAAGGCAAGATGTTTGCACAATTCTAGAACAAAGAAAGAACACTCAAGAATAATACAATTGAGCACAATAAGTGTTCTTGAAAGCAAAAATGAACATTGAATGAAATAGGCTTGAAAATGCTCAAACTTTAGGTTTGATGTTTTCTCTTTGATTCTCTCTTGATTCTTGTTGATTGTTATTTCTTGTTTTTGATCAATGGCTTCTAAGCTTGTTTAAGTACACCTTCAAATGATTCTGAACGTTAGGGATGATTAGTGGAGTCAATAAAGCCGCTTTAGTATGAAATCAATTAATAAAATAGCTTGGAGCGTGGGGGAAATCGGTACCCCCTCATGGGGAATCGATTCCCTAAGTGTAAAATTCAAATATTTCGACCGTTGAATAGGGGGAATCGGTACCCCCTTGGGGGGGAATCGGTTCCCTATAGACATTCTGGAATTTTTGGCTTTGAAACGGTTCGAAATACTTTGTAAAATTATTTTGAAATAATTTTAAGATTAAAACTTAATTTTACACTTGAGTAAGGATTAAAAATGAATTTTGAAAGATCTGGAGTAATATTTTGATATTCAAATAATTATATCGAATATACTTAGAAAATCTTTTTGGAAAATCTTAAAATTCATTTATCTTAATTTTTTATATCGAAATATCAAAATGTTTTCAACAATCTCCTTCTTTTTGATATAACAAAACATTTTAGTAATTTTAAGATTTTGAAATCAAGTTTTGAAATTACTCCCCCTTACTCTAACACTTCTCCCCTTTAAACACTTTAACATCCCCCTTACTCTAACACTTCTCCCATTTAAACACTTTAACATTTCTCCCCCTTTTTGTTAAATCAAAAAGACTTTTAAAAAAATTTAAACAATATTTTGAAATCATTTAGCCAATTGATTATAAATATATATAGCTTAAGCTGCTAAGATCACAATCAAGAAAAACGTTAGCCATTAGTTTCATAATCAATATTCATAAACAATGTGATATGACGAAATTGGTCATATATCTAACATGATGTAAATGATGCAATAATGAATAATTTAGCCAAACCAATATATATAAATATAAGTTCAAACATCCATAAATTCAAACAAATTCAAAGTCAAACAATCCACAAATTCAAACATTCCAAAATGTTAAAACAATAAGTTTGAAGTTTTAATCCAATAAAACTAAGCAAGAACAGGGCCTAATCGTCCATCGGTGCATCAGGAGGAGATAAATGTGACCAAATATTGGTCACATCACTTGAAAGTGCATCGACCCTTTCGTCCAACGAATCAAAACGACGATTCTTCTTTTCAGTGGTAGCAGTCATATTTGAATCGATAGATGCAAGCCTCAAATCAATGTTCTCCATAAAAGATCGAAAGTATAGAGGCATTTGATACTCTGGACGAGGTTGTTCCTCTGGAGGTGCTTGTTCCTCGTGCTGCTCCGGCTCATTGTCGGAGTCGTCTTCTTCCGAAGGTTGCTCACCGGTACGAACCTAAAGACCAGTTTCTTCATTGATCTTCCATCCCGATTTAGTTAAAGAGAATATATTGATTTGGTTTTTGAGGGGAAAGGAAGCATCAAGACCAACTCTAAGCCCAATCTTCTTAAATAGATTACTAAGAATACAATCGTAAACTAAAGAATAACATACTTTTTTATTGGGAACAAGATTTACGGTTTCGACAAGTTCAGAAAAGATAATCTGTGGAAGGTTGATTTGAGATTATTTTGGACACAATGTAGCTAAAATAAATCTAAGGCTCGAAGAGTAGAGTACGACCTCCAGATGGTCAAAACCACCAAGAGATCATAAGGTGAAGAAAACGGTCGTGAAGATCTAAAACACTCGCACTATCCCTTCGTTTATACTGAGATCCTACCGTAAGTTTTTCATTATCTAACCCGTCATTATCTAATCCTAATGCGGTGGCAATGTATTCTGAGTCAAGATGAAGGAATCGTCTTAGAAGATAGGATCGGATCCCTATGGTTAAGGTTTTCTCTCGGTTTTTAATGCAAATGACATTAGAGTAGAAGATACGAACAAGTTGATGGTAGAAAATTGGTTCAAGCTCGAAAAGTTTGTCAATTTTCCACTCTTGAAGAGTAGGAAGATGACGAAAATTTATGTCTAACATGGCTTGAAGAGATGGATTCGTTCTTATCGGATTTTGTAGGACTCAAAGTATTGACAAAACCTAAAGTAGATATTTTGTTTTTGACCGGGTTCATTAAAACAAGAATTGCGAATGGTCATGTTTAGATCATCAGGATTAAGTTTAGGAATTTGTTGGATGGGTGGAGGATTTGGAGGTGAGTTTGGAGGTTGGCTAGAATGACTAGAGGATGCTCTAGAACGTTTATGAGACATGATTTAAGATAATCGGAATGGAAAGAATAACCTGTAATTTTAAAACACATGTATGCAAAATAATCAATCCCAAAACTCAATTGAGTCCTCAATATTTCAATATTCTCTATACCAATCTTAATGGACAAAGTTTTTGAAAACTATTGAAAAATAAGGTTTTGAGAATCAATATACATATAGTTTTCATAATAATAACATAATTAAATCAAAACACAACAATTTAAATTTTTTTTTTAAATTTCGAAAATTTTCAAAATCTTTGAAAATTCTTGTGTTTTTGATGAAATTAGTTGTAGAATCTAGTTTCTAATCACTAAACAATCAATGCCTGATCTAAAGTTCAACCTAGAACTAATTAAAACTAGTTCTATGTTCAAAAATTGATGAAATATAAGTTTTAGAAAAATACCTTGAAGAATTTCGGATTTGAGTGAGATTAGATGAATTTGCACGTTTTTTATGATTCCAACAGGTTTAGGAGATGATATTTGAAGAGAATTCTGATTAAAAACGTTGTTTTGATGAAATATGGAGATAGGGAGAGAGTATAGAGGAGAATGACGTGAAGAGAGAAGAAAAGAGGGTTTGAGTTTAATAGGTATTCTGCCCGTGTTAAAAACAGAATCCCAGGGGGGTATCGATTCCCCTGCAGGGGGGTATCGATTCCCCTACAGGGGGAATCGGTTCATCTTCAAAGGGGGAATCGGTTCCCCTTCAAGGGGATATTGATTCCTTCAGCACTAAAATTGATAAAATCTTATTTTAAACACTCAAAAAGCTAAATTAATTTTCTCTAGTGGTATTGGCAACTCATATATTGAAAATTAATCATGTTCAATCAATCAAATTTATCATTAAAAATTATTTGAACATAAAGTTAATTTTCACCAAGAATCATAAACTCCCCCTAACTAAAAGCAATGAATACAATCAAAAATTACTATTATATGCATTTTCATTTATTCTTAAAAGTGCTAAAATTATTTTAAGCACTAAGTGAAGATAGGTTAGTTAAACCTAATTCTCTCCTAAGTGTCCAAAAATGTTCCTTGTCTAAAGGCTTTGTAAAGATATCCGCTAATTGATGCAAAGTATCAACAAATTCTAGAACTACATCTTCCTTAGTGACATGATCTCTAATGAAGTGATGTCTTATTTCAATGTGCTTAGTTCTAGAGTGTTGGATGGGATTTTTAGTGAGACAAATATCACTAGTATTGTCACACTTAATAGGAATGGTACCTACTTCAATTCTATAATAAAAAATATGTTGTTTCATCCATAAAACTTGTGCACAACTACCAGCTGAAATGTATTCGGCTCCAGTGGTAGATAATGCAGCACAATTTTGTTTCTTTGAAAACCAAGAAATCAACATATTTCCAAGGAATTGGCAAGTACCGGAGGT